AAATGGAAGAGCAACAATCACAAAGAAAACAGAGCTGATGGACACAGACTGAGAAGGGGGAACGGAACCCTTCTGAAGCAGTGAAGGATTCAAGAAATAAGCTTCAAGGACGAACAATATTTCCTGCCTTTTCTAAGCACTTATTAGCCTCTTTCCTAGTTATTCTTCACACTTAGCACTCTTTGCTCCCACCTTTTCCCCACCTCGTTATGTTTTTTGGCCTTTAAGCAGTGCAGAACAACTGAACTAGCATGCCATGAAGAAACACCTCCATTAGTTGTGTCGGAAAGAGATCCAGACTGGATCACTAGTAACTGCAAAGGACTCAGACTGACAAGGATGAACTTCTCCTGCCATGCTGTGATCAAAGCTTCAGTGTGGATTTTTGCCAATCTCAGGTCATACTGGTAAAACTTCACATCAGTGATTTTTTCTCAGGCATTTGGTGTGTATGATGATCCTCAGCAGCTGCCTGTTTCCACAGCTGTCACATAACAAGATTTCTCCTCAGTTAAATACCAGAAAAAGCTTAACTTTGATGATAGGTCAGTATACTGACTCTTAGGCAAGAATGAGCTAAAGCCATTTCAGGCTCTAGACACAGCCTTTGAAAGGCCTCATGCACATGACACTATCAGGCCCAACGATGATTTCTATATCCCAATCATAAACCAAGCCAACAGAGTAAGTTTGTATTCTGGGGCTTTAAAACGCTAAACTGAATCCCAGTTCTGGCTAGGATTGGTTATTGCTACGTTATCAACTTGTTTTCTTTTACAGAATCATTCCTATGAACAAAAGCCACAAAGTTTCCAAAGTCAGAACTGATTTTTTATTTCTTCTCAACATCCCATTGAGGAGCTGGGAGCTTTGAACTGACAATCTGATCATGATTTCACCTCCATTATAATGTGTACTCATGATTTAAGACACTTGCAATAACACTACATGCAACCCAGAATATATTCAATATATATATACATGCAACCCACAATAATTCAACAGAACACCTCAAACTCAGTAGCCTGTCTTGTGACTTCATAGAAAACAATTTAAAAAATATACCAGTATCAAATATATATAAAATATACCAATAATACCAGTCAAGATCTAGTTAATACACTAGACACCTTACAATGTGCTAAAAAGACTTACGGATAAAGACAGAGATCGTTTCTGCAGGCAGAAGTCTTGCATCAAGCTGACATACAAGTACTGCACACTGAAGGTATCTGAGCACATAGGTTAGGGGAAGTGCTGAAGCATGAAGATGGTTTAGTGTGTGGTGTCCCTGCCCACGGCAGGAGGACTGGAACTAGATGATCTTAAGGTCCTTTCCAACCCAAACCATTCTATGATTCACACATAACTTTAAGGATCCAGTGTACATGACACTTCCATGCGTGAAAAGTAAGGAAGAGAACAGCTGTGGGAGAAAGTTCTAGGGAGGAAACAGGAGTCAAAAAGAGCAATAATATAGTGGAACAGCACAAAGTACTTTTACAACATTCTAGTAATTCAGGAGTTAGAAGTTCCTTGGTGCAAATATAGAAATATGAAGGTAACTTGCAAGGGCTAGTTAAAAATGAGACATGAAGGTAATAACTACTGAAAAAAAGATAAATTATATACTTGGAGAAAAAGAAGAATACCAACATAACAGCATACAACTCAGAACTACAATTAATGTCGTTAAGGAAAAAAATGGAACCAAGCTGCTCAAAGCAAGGACTCGCTGAGGCCATTAAAGAACAAGAGTGGAAAATCAGTGGCAGATGATGCTGATATATTGCTGACACCCTCAAAGAGAACCTGAAGGTCAAGGAATAAAGTGTGGAATAAATTTTCCAGTAGGAAAGTGAAATATGAACATTTCCTAAGATCACCTTGAGGTTAACAATTAGGAACCCAATATAATTAAAACCTGACAAAGTTGTAGGTACAAATGAGTGATATCCCACAGAAAGCTACTCAGAATTGGAGAAAAAAAGAAAAGCTGACAATACTGAGTAGGAGAGGATTACAGTCATGTTAGTAACATTTCAAGGCTTCTTTTCCTTAACTTAAAAATGGCTGTGGCTGTAATTCTGAAGCAATGTTCTGGTGGGAAGACAAGAAGTGGAAATGAACTAAAGCTGTAGAGCAAATCAAACAGACTTTGATAAAACAGTGATCTGTATTGAAGATTAAAAGAGAAAAAAGAATAAAAAAGTGAAAGGAGAAAAATTCAGAAGAGGAATCATCATCATCTACAGGCCTCCCCTGGTACTTGCTCTACTTCCACGAAGCCCTCTAAGGGTAACTAAGCAGTCAAGTCAGCAAGTCAATAGCCGTATTGCCACTCAATGCTCCCCTGGGAAATCAGATCTGCACACACAATGTGGAAAGTCACTGAGGCTACCAGAGAACGGAATGAGGAGGCATTCCAGTATATGCAAGAAACACGTTAATAGAGGAATGGTGCTTCAGGCATCAAGGTAAAGTGTTAGTAAAATCCAGTGCAAACAAAGGTAGTGCAAGATCACTCAGCTTGAGATGTACTGAAATTCTTCACTGATTCTGTTTCTGTGCAGCTTCAAGTCAGGAGGGAAGAAAAGTGCTTTCTGTTAACAAAACTCTGAGACAGGGGAGAAAACAAGCAAGAAAAGCAGTAAAATATTCTGTGCTCTTTGACAAAGGGGTGATTCTGTGATTTGATAGAGGAGTGGAGCTTGTAACAGTTTGACATCAGACCAGTGGGAGTCACTGATGTATACAAGGCAAAGGAAAAAGAAGCGATCACTGCTTAGCAGCTTGTAGAATCAAAAGGCTGGAAATATGGATTAAAAAGTGAGGGAGAACATTAATTTTGAATATAAAAAATTCCTTACAAAAAGCGACCAGCAAACTCAGATGGCCTAAAAAGGAAGACGAGAGATTTTAAGATGAGTAAGACACTGATCAGATTTAATAACTGGAGGAGGAAGAATCACTGAATTTTTCTAATGATGTATTTTTAAAGTTTAACATTCAAATATCAAACTGTAGGTTTCTGTGAAGAAATACTGAGCAGAAGTCCTGATGTTTGCAGTCAACAGCCACCTCAAATGTAAAATCATTTCCTTCTACTTGCTGATTTTGTGTATCTTATTCTTAATTTCTGAAGTGCTTCAGTAATACTGTGCTTTGCAAATATTTTTAGCAAAAGCTGTGCAGTATCAAGCTTCAAGAAAAACAAGACACACCTTAAAGTACTTCTACCAATATCTCATAAGGTTCGTGCCATTTAAAGTGAACTATACTGCCAATCATCAACTCTATCACTTACCAGTCGAATTCATCATTTTTCTGGAAAGAGAATTCATGCAAAAGCCTGAAATTAACTATCAATCTTACATATGCTTTTTTGGATATTGATCTGTATTTTCTGGTCTTGCACAACTTCCCTGGTAACAACAAAATTAACCACAGATCTTTTCAACCAACAACAACTCAGCTGAATTTTTCTTTATTTATCTCAAGTGTGGGTGGCCACACTCACTTTTGTCTCACATAAGCAACTGCTGTAAGGAGCACCTGCAATATTCTTCTCAGAGCTGTTACGTGCCCACAGATCACTTGTGTTGCAACCCTCAGTGTGAACTGAGACTGAGAAGTCTCATTTTCTCCCCAGACTACATGACTTTAGGAGCCCACAAGTCCATCAAACTTCAGCCACAGGACAGCGCTGCAAAGACTAATGACAGTGGTTCACCTCTGTGTACGGTCCTACAGCACTACAATGCACAAACAATGTCCTTCCATGCTCGTCTGTATCTCGATCAAAGCTGTGCCAAGGACATCCTGATTCTTTCAGATGACAATGGAACTAAGTGACCACGCAGGACACAGGTATGTTATTTTAAATACCTGCTAGAAAAAAGTTCTCTTTTCACACACGCACACATATATGTGTGTATTTGTTGACTTGCATTTAATATACATGCAAAAATAATGTGTTTTTATGTGTATATATTATAGAACCATATAATGGTTTGGATTGGAAGGGACCTTAAAGCTTATACAGTTGCAACCATCTCCCACGGGCAGGGACACCTTCCACTAGAGCAGGTTGCTCCAAGCCCCTGTGTCCAACCTGGCCTTGAACACTGCCAGGGATGGGGCAGCCACAGCTTCTCTGGGCACCCTGTGCCAGTGCCTCAGCACCCTCACAGCGAGTATCTTCTTCCTTACACCTAATCAAAATCTACCCTGTTTCAGTTTAAAACCATTAACCCTTGTCCTGTCACTATTTGCCCTTACGTATGTATATACACATATGTGTGTGGGCATGTAAACACACACATACACACAACACGTAGCACAAGATCAGTTTAGGATAAATTCTATACGTGTCTTGATGGTCATTCAAAATTTAGCCCGTTCAAAATAATACTCATTTCACAATAAATCAATGAAAATTAAATATAGCTGGTTTAGAGAAGCAAAGAGCTCTTACCTGCTTTACCACTGTCACAGTGCCAGGTGCCATGGTAACTACAGAAGCAACCGCAGTGGTGTCATGGGTTTCCGAACCCAACTCAATGATTTGCTGCAGGATGTTTACAGCTGTTGGATCAAGCCTTTCACCTGATCAGAAAGACAGCAACCATAAGATCATTACAACAAAACAGCTCTAAGAGTATGTGAATGTAAGTGCTAGAGGCACATCAGACTCACAGAGTGCTGTTTATAAATCCGAGCAGCTCAATGATATGACACTTCAATAACAGATCTATGGCAGGAAAGTAGTCACAAAACAAATTTGCCTGAGGAATGTATGAAACAGGAAGTGAAGCCACACTGATCATTTTTATGCCTATTTGAAAGAGATCTGAAAGAATACATTGGATAAATAAACAACAGGTACAGCTCACAGCAGTTACTGTAAATTAGGAAGCCGCAAGAGTTTACAAATCCAAATGTGTATTTGCCAAGACATTCAGCTGAAATAGAAGCTGAGCTCTATACCTATAACCACAACAGCTATTTGGTATATTACAAGCTTCTGTTTACCATCTGTCTGGCCACGTGCAATGCCCCTCAACCTAACAGAATAACTGAGATGGGGATCTAGGACAGATGATTTAATTTCAAACAGAAAGTACTTATATTATCTACACAAGAAACAATTTCATCTGAGTACTGAAAAATGTTTGCTTGTTTTAGCTTTCTTTTCTATATAACTGCCTTTAGACAGCATAGTACTGGTTTTCATACCTAGAGGCAATATGATGAAAGAGTATCTGAAGTTCAATGCACTAAAAAGCAAATCATTCTACTCTGAAAACTACAGCTTCATGCTTAAAATCAAAAGTTATGTACAGCACATTCCATGATCATGTGTATTTTCATTTAAATGTATAAAAGCTTAAGAAAAATTCCTAAGACATTTTTACTCATCCAGAATTCCCAGTCATTAAAATAAAATAATATACAGAAATTGACAGCAACCTAATTTAATGGCAACATGCTTGGAAATTCCATTAAAAGGAGAAGCTTTTGAAATGTATCTGTATTATGAACTATAAAGACCACAATGGTAAACAGCTGTAAAATACTATCTTCTGGTAACCACATTTATTTATATATGTAAAACCAAAATATATTGGTCTAGACTCTGATGTTTTAATACTCTCAGAAATGTGGAATTTTTTCCTTTTCTTTCAGTTTTTGTTATTTCCCACTTAGCAATCATTACTAATCCCCCTCTGATTCTTCTTCAATTTGATACAGAATAGCTTACTCAGTTTTGTGTACCATCAGAATTAAGTTTGTTAGTACTGTCTTGGGAACGTGGTAAATGAGCTATTCCACCCTGTCACTTCTGCAGTCTGGCTGACTTAAGCAAGAAGAAAAATAATAGCTAGAGAATTGCCATTAGATACACACCATCTACACTGCCAAGATAGCTGATTTCACAATGTATTTAATAATACAGGCAGGAAATTCCACACACCTAATAATCAAGTGCAAAACAGTGCATGATAAGTATTAATGACTTAAGGAGATAGAAATTCATTAAGAATGGTCATTTCTCATTATTTATCTCCAAAGAAAAGTCCTGGAAGTAAGATCTGGATGACAAATTCCATTTAACAGTTTCACAGCAGGTCATATATTGCCCAGTATACGCAAAAGAACTATGTATTTATGAAAAAAAGGTATCTTTTGTGTTCCAACCTAAAAAAAGGTAACTTACTGTTCTCAGAAGTGTATCTAAGGTTCTGTAATGCAGCTACAGCAGCCTGAGTGCCTTGAACATCTTCTCCGGCCTCCGTGATATGGAGATATTGAGTAGATGCTTCTTCAGAAACTTCAGCAGTTAACTTGAAAACAAAACCCAGTCAAGGCATGAATAATCACACTCTCCATTTAGCAATTTCATGAATGATCAAAGTTCTGAGTTTAAAGGAATGACTTTTGGACAACAAAACTAAAGTTATAGAAGTAGTGGGTGAAACAGAATTCCAGAAGAATACTACATGGGAGTCAGGATATCATCCCATAGTTTTCTTCTAGATTCTACTTTGAAAGTTGTCTCAAGTATGCTAAATTATCTTGACTTCAATTCTGTTGCACGGTTATTTTAGAACTAACAACTGACTTCTGTCGTATCAGGGTCTAGTACAGACCTTTTGAGCAAGATTAGTCTGTAACACATGTCCCTGCAGATCTGGTAAAATGCCTCTGAAGTTTGAAAACAGCATTTTGTTCTAGAAAAATGATCCTTTCCATAATTGTGTTTTTTCAAGACAAGCTGTCAGTATGCATTACTGCTCTGATGGGACTTCCTTATTTATACTTGTGTCAACAGCAGAGATGTGCTTGCACCCTGGATGTCCTCAAGTTTTTCCAGGTTTGGGCATCTACTGGGAAAGTGTAGAGAGGACTGTTTGTGAAATTCACATGGATAAAAGGCTTAGAAGGGTTACAATTTAAAATGCTTGCCCTTTATTGAATGACTGTCCATGTAGAATCTACTCTGGTTTTTTTCAAGGACTTAATATTCCCTAGAATCCTAGAATGGTTTGGGTTGGAAAGGACCTTAAGATTATCTAGTTCCAACCCCCCTGCCATGAGCAGGGTCACCACACACTAAACTAGGTCGCCCAAGGCTCTGTCCAACCTGGCCTTGAACACCACCAGGGATGGAGCATTCACAACTTCCTTGGGCAACCTATTCCAGTGCCTCACCACCCTCACTGCGAAGAACTTCTTCCTTACATCTAATCTGAACTTCCCCTGTTGAAGTTTGAAGCCATCACCCCTTGTCCTACCACTACAGTCTCTAACGAAGAGTCCCTCCCCAACATCCTTGTAGGACCCCTTCAGATATTGGAAGGCTGCTCTGAGGTCTCCACGCAGCTTCTCTTCTCCAGGCTGAACAGCCCCAACTTTCTCAGCCTGTCTTCATACAGGAGGTGCTCCAGTCCTCTTATCATCCTCGTGGCCTCCTCTGGACTTGCTCCAACAGCTCCATGTCCTTTTTCTGTTGAGGACACCAGAACTGGACACAATACTCCAAGTGAGGTCTCACGAGAGCAGAGTAGAGGGGCAGGATCACCTCCTTTGACCTGCTGGTCACACTTCTTTTGATGCAGCCCAGGATACGGTTGGTTGATGGGCTCAAGCACACACTGAAGCTGGCTCATGTCAAGCTTCTCATCAACCACCACCCCAAGTCCTGTGGATACTCAAAAACTGTTAAGCAGGAACTGCAGGATGGCTCTTTTGAATCAGGTGTTAGATTTATAACAGGGGTTAGACTGCCTGAATTTAGCAGAACAAGTCTTGAAGTGTGGAGGTGACCCAACCCCACTTGACTTGTGGCTTTTTCCTCTCACTGGACACCGACAACAGCCTACTCAGGCAGGGGCAAAGACTCAGCTTGCCAACTCTAATTTTTTACATAAATGGGTCTACATAGTTCTGTGGTTTCCCCATAGCTTCTGCACCTACAGTCAGCTCTGCTCTGTAAGAGTTTGCAGTTTAGAACAAACTGCTACCCACATGGCAGCAGAGGAAAGCCTGAAATGGGAATCCCTCTCAAGGTAGCTGCCCTACTCCACTCCAAAGAAAGAAAATTACAGTTGTTGGCTTGGTTTTTATTAATGCAGCTTCTTAGGTCTAACTTAGACTTTTTAAGGTCTGATCTTAATCATACTGTGATTTCCTATATACTTTGGATTGAAGCTGAAAACACAGAACAGGTGACAGAAGACTTGCTATGTACTTACATATATATATATACAAAAATACATGTGTATATATATAAATACATATATATACACATACTTACTCTGTATAACTAGATAATAGATTCTAGCCTTTTCTGGTCCAAGCCCTAAGCTATTTTCATTACTTAAAAATAAGCTTGCAGCTTTGTGCATCTTTCAGTAAACCCCAGCGGATATTTAGCATGTAACAAAATGCAGGAAGTTTCTAAATTTCACACTTTCACTGAAACTAAAAATAGAGGACCAGAGCCCTAAAATGCAGGAATAAGCACTTACAAGGATGTTAATCGTACAGTTATTAAAGCAGTCGAGCTTAACAGTCACAGAGTTATATGCATTCAAAATGGAGATGAGAATGCATGACCTCCTGATCGCATATGAAGTCAAGAACGCTTTTGGGAATACTTATTCTTATCCTAACTTTTCTCCCTATATTTTCTTAAAATCTTAGCGCCAAAGCCATGGCAACTTTGCTTTACCTCCCACTTGGTCTCCCCATCTTGTTCCACTAGCTTCATTCCATGCTTGTTTTTAAGATGTCTGTTGAACTCCCATTTTGTGCCATACACGAAGCTGCAGACAGGACACTTAATGCCACCTATAAGGAAACACAAATAAATTCCTTGAGTTATTTGTCATATAAATTCTTTTTCAAGGCAGTAAGAACCCATTTAATTCGACCCCATCTTAATCAGGCCACAGAACTGTAATTTAAAAGGCTTTCCTTTAGCCACGTGCCCAACATGGAAAAAGGGGAAAAAAATAAAGTAGTTGAACTTCTACAGTGCTTGAAGGGCAATTCTGGATTAATGGTAATGGGAAGAGTCTGGAACAACTCGTATATCTGGGAAGCTATTGCAGTCCTGCTTTCCTGTCTGCATGCCTCCCTTTGGTGGATGTTAAGTT